GCACATAACAACAACAACAACAATATAAAATTAATATGTGGTAAAAAAACTGGAATAATAGTTGTCCTTCAGTTAACAAGAGAATTTTCAGGAGTGATAGAGTGAGGGTTACACAGTATATCTATTTGTTAAAAATAGCTATATAAGGATATATGTATATAAATTTTAAGTTTAAACACACACTCCCTAAAAAATCCCATATACTGAGAGTGGGTGGAAGTGTGGGTAAGAGTAATGACAAAGTTTTGATCCTTGTTCAAAGTTGGTAATGTGTATGGCACTATATCATTATTTACACTCTCGTTGTGTACCACTGAGTCAGAATCAACTCACCACAGCTAACCCTCCAGCAGGTTTTCAGAGGCAGGATATTGTACTGGAAAAGACTGCCATCCTAGGGAGCTCTGGTGGCCTAGTGGCAAGACGCTGCACTGCAATCCCAGAGGTACGCGGTTCAAATCCACCAGATGTTCTGCTGGAGAAGGAGGGGGCAATCTCCTCCTGTACCAGTCAGATCTGATTTGATGGTACACGTAAAAGAATAAAATAAAAATTAAGAAAATTTAAAAAAAAATAAAAAATTAAAAAAAAAAAAGATTGCCCTCCTTCTCCCTGAGAACAACTGATGGGTTTGAACCACATGCCTTCAGAATTACAGCACAGCTCCTTACCACTAGGCCACCAGAGCTCCAAATTATTATGTCTACTCTGTATATAGTTGACATTTTTCAAAATTTATATATATATAATCTGTCACTAAAATACATAGTCAAAACTTTTCCTAGCATGAAGATGTACCACCTTAACAAGCTTTCACTAGGAGCACAGGATATAAAAAAAAAAAAAATTCAATGGCGATCCCTGCATCTGTGCTTTGCTTGGAGAGTATGAAATGCAGCTCATTATTCTCTGCAGTTCCCCTCACCCTCACGCCAGCAGGTCTCCCATTTAATGGGCCATCAGAGTGGATATGATATGGCTTCCTCAGCTATCACCAGGCCCCAAATCAATTCGTCTCTAGTGTCTCAAATATTTATTTCTAGCAAACACTGGTGCAGATGGAGAAAAAAAGAGGTATGCATACTAGAGAAAACAACTGACTTGACAAGGTAGCACCCCATCTTCACCTCTAGTCTCACAGCTCTCTCTTTAAACCATGTTTATAAAAATTAAATTCTTTCCATCTTTAATCTCTAATTCCTTCCTGAGGACCAGATTTTTTTAATCTCACATCCAACTTTTTTTTAGCCTTACTTTCCTGTTTTTGAATAATACGCCGCATACCCCACTGCCATTTAGTCAACACCAATCCCACAGGAGAGTGTAGCCCTGCCCCATATGGTCCCCAGCCTATAAAACCTCTTGCTCAGATCACCAATCTTTTGGTAGCATCCCAACATTCACCCCATCGTACCACCAGGGCCCTTTCTAAATAATTCAAAGACATAAAATGTCAGAATTATAAAATCCAGAGAATGTTAATCAATATCAACTGTCAATTTTCTGCACTTTCAACTGACACGGCTCAGTCACACACAAAACATGTAAGAGTCAGTGAGTGTGTTTTAATAGTTTTCCAAATTCAACCTGAGAAAAATTCCACAGCTTTTCACAAGACAAATTAGAGAGCCATACAGAAGCAAAGAATAAACTCGGGCTCAATCAGTTATTAAAATGTCTAATATGTTAATGGTCTTGAGGATCATAAAAGGATTATCAAAACACTCCAGTAAACATCTTTTTTTTTTCAGTAAACATCTTTTCCACACAATATGCAGATTCAAGTATTACTATCAATCAGTTCTACATAGTAAGATGTTGCTGTTGTTAAGTGCCCTCAAGTCCCAGGCGACTCATAGCGACTCTATGAAGGAGAGTCCTCAATGCTTGGGTGTCTCTCATCCTCTCTCCAGGTTCATAGGGTTTCCGGAGGCAAGCTATTATGGAAGTGGATGTCACTCCTCCTTCCAAGCTACATAGTAAGATACATGATAAACTATTGACATTAAAGATCTAAAAGTTTATATACTTTACAATGTCTACTTAGAAATATTTCTACCCAACTTTATAGCATATTTTTGTACATTTCCATTCTACATTCTACAGCATGCAACAAGAAGAATGCCCTAGTGTCACATATGCCTTTATTGAGAGAACAACCATTTGCACTTCTCTTACACATCAAGCATTCTGCTAGGTACTAGAAATACAACAGTGAATAAAACAAAGGTTATATTCCCATGGAGCTTACATTCTAGTAAGAGATTAACGTATAAGTATAGTAGAGGGCAACAAGTGTCTCAGAGGAGAAGAAATCAGGCAAGGTAAGACTGAAAGAGTGTGTAAACCACTATTGAATATTGAAGAAGCTCTAGTGGCCATGAGATGTTGAAAAAGATCTCTCAGTTATAGTGATAAATGAGAAAAACCTGAAGAAAATGGAAGCTCCAGATTCCAGGGAGGAGGGAATGGTGAGAGTCCAGGTCCAAGTCCTCAGTCAATACATTAATTCCAGAAATTGTCAGGCTCCTGAAAGGCTGCAGGGGAGGGATAAGCTAAGAGCCACAAAGTGGGAGGGGAGCAGGACGATTTATCTAAACTTTTATAGGCCAAGTTAAGGCTCTGGGCTTGTAGAGTAAGAGATGGGAAGACACTGTTCTATGAGCACAAATGAACCAACTGAATGTTTGTTACCCGTCTAGTTGTGGGTGGAGAATAGGTAGTAAGGGAATAAAGGCTGAAGTAGCTGCAAGAACATTTCACTTCAGGAATCAGTGTGCTAAGAGGAATATTTTAACTCTACTTATAGACTGTATGAGCTCTAGTGGCTTAGTGAAAGAAGTTGTATTGCAATCCCAAAGGCACAAGGTGTGAGGCGACCAACTGCTCTACAGAAGGATGGGCAATCTCTTCCCATGTGATTAATTGCCTCTGAAAACCCACCAGGGGTCAGCTATGGGTGGGTTCTGACTTGATGGTATACAACACCAAAGCCTAATTTCCCAATAACTAATGGAACAGTCAAAGGAATTGTTTTCATTTGCCACTAGCTTAGGAGTTAAAGAGTTTTTGAGAGAGAAGCAAGAGTTGCTTTTCAGACTCGAGTTTCATCTTCTGGATAATGATTTCTTTATCACACTAAATCTAACATCTAAGTAAAACAAAAGTGTTAATTTCCCAAGCAACAAGCCTTTTGGGAAATATCCCCTTACATAATAGCAGAAAACACATATTTTATTTTAGACGCCTGATATGAAAGGTCCCTGATGACTTAGTAAGGGACTGTGCTGCCAATTCGAAGGTACACGATTCGAATCCACCAGATGTTCTGCAGAAGAAACCTGGACAATCTCTTCCTGGGTGATTTACTGCTCCTGAAAACCTACTGGAGGATCAGCAACGGCTGGTTCTGACTTGATGGTACACAACAGCATATTGTTGCAGTTATTCATAAACGTCATTAGTATATGTATGTACAGTGCTGCAATCAACACCTACTTTACTAATATTCCTGAAAGAAGATATATTGATTTTTTTAAAAAAACCCAAACCAACCTGCAAACAATAAATCATGAACATTCTCCCAAATCCCAATTTCCTAATCCATTCATTAAATATCTCCTATAAAGCTAGGTTTTGAGTTAGTCTTATTTTTCCAATTTAAGAGTTTCACGAATAGCAGCCTTGCCCAAGTCATGTTATCATTATAAAAAGCTAGGGAAGAAAAAAGAAGAAAATCGCAAAACACTGACTCTTTTCAGGACACTGATCCACACTTTAGTGTTATTAATTGGTGTAAGAGGGTGTCAGAGACACATGATTTCCTGCACACTCTGATGATTTCATTCTCTGCAGAGAGCACTCTGATAAATTAAATCATCCTGGCTATGTCATGAATCGCAGCTGGCATGTCTGAATATTGCTCTGATGATGAGCAAGCAGTATAAAACAAGATGCTGGTTCTACTCTTAAAAACACATTTGCAAAAAAAAAAAAAAACACATTTGCAGCATCTCTAGGAAGGATTTAAAATAAAAAATGAATGCTACTATATTGTTCACTTTGCTTTTGAGAAACCTAAACCCACTTGCCAGAAACTGGGTGGCATTTTCTTTCCAAATAGCAGGCAGCATCTAAAGTACCGAGGAAAACGTAGTGGGGGTGGGGAGAGGCTATTCATATGGATATCCCAGCGTTTTGCTTATCATTAGCGTTTTAATGGGCTGGAGAAGTGGAGGAGACCAGCTAGAAACTGTGAGACTGTTATAGCCAAAATATGTTATTTCCTCATCTTCTCAAGTTCTAAGGTCAAGAGATTCCCTACCCTGGGGCTAGGAGCTTGCTTGTAATATGTCTCCACGCTTTATCTTATCTACACCTCTCCTTTCCTTTTTCATTCAATTACAATCTCCTACTCTTTTTCTTTGCTTCCTCTTTTTGTACTGAGAGCATCCTAGCAAACTGCCATAAATGTTTACTGGGATAAGAAAAGGTAGAAATAAATAATAAATCAAAATTTCTTTCTCCGGGTCTAAATTTAAATACAACAGGCGGAGAGGATGGTGAAAAGAAGTGTGGGTGTTTGTTGCGAGATTCTTCGGTCTCTAGGAGGGAAAGCAGAGAATAAAATGCTAAGGGGCTATGGATGTGTGTATGTGTGTGTGTCTGTGTGTGTGTGCGTGCGTGCACAGGGCAAAGAGAAGAATTTAGGAAGACGAGAAGGAGAAAAAATATCAACTGAGATTGTGACCCACCTCCCACGTTTTTAGACCCTTCCCCACCCCACTGCAGCGCTCTGTGCTTTCCAGAAAGCTCATCGTCCAAAGAGCAGATTCCTTACACCACAGCTGGGATGGTGGTGCCCTGGGCCGGAGCTCTGGGGAGATGGAGATGGGGATTGGATGGGAGCAATCAGACTAGGAAAGGGATGTAGAAGCCACAGATGCCCGTTAAGATCGCCAGCCGAGATGCAAAGGCAGGGTCGGGCTGCCGGGACCAACCTGGAACAGGCGAGATGGAGGATGCCCAGGGCACCTCTGTCTTCTCCACCTCAGCCTTCTCCCTCTGCTGCTGCTGCTCCTGCTGCTGCTGCTGGATAAGGCTGAGGTCCGAGCGGCCGAGCTCGGCTCGAGCGGCCGCAGATACCAGCTGCGCCTTCAGCAGCACCGCGGCCAAGCCGAGGAGCAGAGTACAGGGTACCGGCCGGCACAGCCTCGCCATGGCCAAGAGCCAGAGGGCCGCGGCGGCATATTGCGGGGCTCCAGGCGGCGGCGGGCGCCAGGGCTGCGGGCTCCCGGCCGCGCCCGCTCGCTCCCTCGCCAGTGCTCGAGCCGTCTGCCGCGCACGCCCTCACCGCCGCGAGGAGGAGGTCCCGCAGGCGGAGGAGGGGGCGGTGGCGAGCGGCGGAGGCGGGCCCGTGTGCATCCTCGGGCACGTGACGCGCGGGGCGGGGCCGGCCCGGCGCTGCTACCGCGCGCGCAGGCCCGCGGGGGTCCGACCTCCCGGAGGTGGACCCTGCTCGGCCCCGCTAGACGGTGCTGTCTCTGCCGGGTCCGACGGCTCAGCTGCTGGGGAGAATGGGAAATTTCTGGGAGTAGGTAAAGCTTCCAAGTTCCCCAACGACTCCAGAAGCACTGGGAAACTTTGCAGAAAGCCAAATAAAATCCCCATCTGTAGTCAAGGGGGCTCTGGTGTTCTCGTGGGTAAGGAGGTGTGGGGCAAACCCAAAAGGTGGAAGTTTGAAGCTGCTTTGTGGGAGAAAGGTAGGCAGTCTCCTTGTATGCCATTTATAGCCTCCGAAGACCTGTTGGGAGTGGGGTCAGTTATGAGTTCGTTGCGACTCAGTAGCTATTGGTTGAGTTCTTAAGTCCGCAAGTACGTTAATTCTTCTTATACCACTTTTAACCAAGCACTAACGGTATTTGATATTGTTGGTAACGTGCCATCGAGTCGCCTGCGACCCATAGCGACCCTCTATGTACAGTAGCTCTGAACCCTGCTCTGTCCTGAGCCAATCTCCCTAATTCCGACACACCAACCCCCATCACCCCAGTCACTGTTTCAATCCATCTCATGCAGGGTCTCCCTCTCCTGCGCTGTCCCTCCACCCTTCCAAGCATGATGTCGTTCTCCAAGAACCCATCTCTCCTGGCCATGTGCCCAGAGTAAGTGAGAGAAGAAGCTTCAAAATCCTAGCATCCAAGGAGAGACTTGGTTTCACCCTCTCCAAGACAGACCTATTTGTTTTCTTGACAGTCTATGGTATGTTCAAGACTCTTCTCCAGCACCACCATTCGAAGGCATCGATTTTTCTTCTGTCATCTTTAGTCATTGTCCAGCTCTCCAAAGCATAGCAAGTAATTGTGAAGACTATGGCCTAGATAAGGCGCACCTTATTCTCTAGACTGACATCGGTGATTTTTCAGCACTCTGGAGAGGTCCTTGACAGCAGATTTTCCCAATGCAATTCATCTTTTGATTTCCTGACTGCTGGTGTTGAGAGTGTTGAAGGTGGAGCAGAGCAAACTGTAATTGTTAACAACCTCAGTATGTTCTCTATCTATTATGGTGCTGCCAGTTGGCCCAGTGGTGAGAATCTTTGTCTTCTTGATGTTGAGCCTCAATCCATATTGAAGACTTCAATCCTTGACCTTCTGCAACAAGTGTTTCAGGTCCTCCTCAATTTCAGTAAGCGAGGGTGTGCCATCCGCATAGCATAGGTTGTTGATGAGTTTTCCTACAATCTTGATGCCACATTCCTCCTCATAAAGCCCTACTTCCCAAATGATCTGTTCTGCATATAGATTGAAAAGGTATGGAGACAGGATGCATCCCTGACACACTCCTTTCCTGATTTGGAACCATGCACTGTTTCCCTACTCTGTGCTGAGGACTGCTTCCTGGTCCAAGTATAAACTCAGTCAAGTGTTCTGGTATTCCCATTTTTCTCAAGGTTAGCCGAAAGTTAAAAACATTTAACTTCAAGTGCAAAGATTTTTATTTCCCCATTTTGGACTGAGATGACAATTCATATTTCACAGTATTGCAATTGACCACATTTTTCTCTAGACCAAATTCCTTTGATCCTTGCAGAGTTCCCTGTGCAGGTGTGAGATGCAGGTTTTTGGAAAGTGATGCCTTTAGTTTTTTCAACGGACCTTTAACTCGTAAGTGGGGTAAGGTGATAGTACACAAGGGATGTTTTACACAAAGTACAAAAGGGTTTCACCTGTTCAGCCCTCCCTCTTAGGAGACTTTGGCTTTCTGACCCCACTGAAATAATTATTTCTGCTTAACTGCTACCCAAATCTTTATTGCTGGGTGGTAAAATATCTTTGTACACAAAAAGTTGTTTGGTTCCTACTGTTATGTGTTATTGAGGTACACACTCAGTGGATCCTTCAAGTTCTCAGAGGCTGTAAATGGCAAGGGAGATTGTCCAGCTTCCTCCTGGGAGAGGGCTGGTGGATTCAAACCGCATGCTTTTGGCTTGGCAACACAACTCCTTACCCACTGGCCAACAGAGCTCCCTTGTTCATTCATAGTACTTATTATTACTGTGATCCCCATATTATAGGTAATAAAGCCAAAAAGCAAAGGTTAAGTAATTGAGCAAAGATCATATACCCAGCAGTAATGGATCTCAGACGTTCTCATTCCAAGGCTAAGTCTTGCATATACAGTCTTGGCATCAAGAGGGCCACTATTGGTCATGTCTTCTTGTTGTTGGGTGCCATCGAGACGTGCATGACTCACAGAGATCCTATGAATAACAGATCTGAACCTTGCCCTATCCTGTGCGATCGTCATTATCTCTGCCAACCTAGAGGTCATTGTTACAGTCACTGTGTCAATCTGTCTTGGTAAGGATCTTCACTTTTCCAAGTATGATCTTTTTCCCAAGGACTGGCCCCTCTTAACAACATGCTCTAAGTATGTGAGATAAAGTTTTACCATCCTTCCTTCTGAGGGACATCCTAGCTGCCTCGCTGCAAGACATATCTATTTGTTCCCCTAATAGTCCATAGATATTTGTTATTCTTCTCCAGCATCACCAACTCAGAGGTGTCAACTCTTTTATTGTCTTTATTCAATGTTCAACTCTCAGATGCAGAACAGGTAAACCAAAAGACTATGGCTTGAATTAGGCACACCTTAGTCTTTAAACTGGCATCCTTGCTCTTCAACCTTTTGGGAGCTCTCTGACTGCAGATAGGTGTAGTAGCTTTCTAGATTTTTACTTCTCTTTTCTTCTCAAATGGGAATTTCTTCCTGTTTCATAAAACATTCTTAATTATGTTTTGAGTAATTATAGACTGTAGTTTTCATTTTCTTGAATATTTTATTGTATGCTTACTAGTGCCAACATTTAGTCAGATGCTTGGGATCAAAACCATGCTTCCCTTCCATTTTAGGAGCACATCACCTGGTAGGGGAGAGGAACAAGAAACAATTTATAGTCCCACAAGGTGGTGTGGAACAGGCAAGAATTGTAAAGTACAGAGGTTGCACAGAATGGAGGAAATCAACTATCTAGTGTATGGAGAGAAACTATGAATCCCCAAGAAAGTTAAAGGAGGAGTGGGAGACAGAGCTGGGATATGGAGATGTTAAAAGAATGTAAGAACTTCACAAGAAGGTGGCCAGCAACCAGGTCATCTAGTAAGTGGAGGTGTGTGTGTCCTACCACTGGGTGTTTGGAAAACTATATACACTGATTGCAAAATAAGGAAGTGGCCATGTTTTAGCTTTAAACTTCCACATCATTATGTTCTAGGCACTGTTCAAGCACTTTACACATTAATTCTTGTAATAAACATAGATGCTAGTTATTAGGATCAAACTGTGTCATCCAACATAAATGTAAATCCTAGCTCCTATACCTATGAGAGGGAGCTCAGGTGGCCTAGTAGTAAAAAGTTATGATGAACCCAAAGGCACATGGTTCAAATCCACCAGCAGCTCCACAGGACAAAGATGGGCATTCTCCTCCAGTGTGATTAACTACCGCTGAAAATCTGCTGCAGGGCCAGCTATTGCATCATTTCCCCCTCATAGTACCCAATGACAACAATCTTATCTAAAATAATGGAGTCCAGGGGACACGTGATTGAAGCACTTGAATGCTAACAGAAATGTATACAGGTGGAACCCATCAGTTGCTTCATGGGTGAAACAGATGGCAGTTTCTGTAAAAATTATAGACTTAAAAACTTATAGTAGCATTTTAGCCTATAGAATTATCGTGGGTTGGATCAACACAAGAGCAGTGGATTTGTCTGATGTTATACCTAAGAAACCTGGTGGTACAGAGATAAAGTGCTAGGCTACTAATAGACACTCAGCAATTCAATTCACTAGCCATTCCTTAGGTGAAAGATGTGGTGGTGGTTGTGACATTCCACCAAGATTATGATCTTTGAAACTATAACAGGCCAGTTCTGCCCTGTCCAAGACGGTCTTGATGAGCCAGAATTGACCTGATTGCATTGTGTTTTGGGTATACCTTCGGCTGTAATCTGATTTGGCAGCAGATTCTGCTTTGTTAAAATAATGAGGCCATATAGAATGGTGATACCATTGATTGGAAAGATTTCAGAGGCAGTGAACCACATGGGAGGAGATTGCCCATCTTTCTCCACAGAGCAGCTGTGGACTCAAACCACTTGCCTTTGCGATTGCAGCATGTGTCTTAAATCTATTCCCTTTTGAGATATAAAGAGAAAGGGGAAATACCTGCCACATAGATAATGACAAGGAGCCAAGGAATGCTAAGTACAGGAACTTTAGGAGCTTTAAGTGATTTTCCTGCAGAGAGCCAGTATCCTCAATTCAGGCTTCTAGTATCCTAAAAAGGAGGTCTGGTCGTGCAATTGATAGGCGTTTCAAACCCAACATCAGTTCCTTGAGGGGAAAAAAAAAAAAAAGAAGACCTGGAAATCTCCTCTCCTCCCATGAAGGCTGTCATTATGTTCTGAGGTGCCGTTGAGTAGGCTCAAACTCACAGGCCCGCTTTTGCACTGCCAGTTTGCTTATCAACTCCACAATCACCACTGAGGTTTCTAAGCCCATTTTAGTTTTTTTAAAATTTATTATTAATTTCAATGAAAATTTACAGAGACTTTGGATTTCCATTCATTCATTGTTGCACTTTTCTCCCCTCCCAACCGTCCCGCTAGTACACTACCCTCCTGGAAAAGTAAAAGAAAAATTCTATCATTGCTTTACAATCCCTCTCCCCAGGTCCACTCCACTATACAGCCTTAGCTCTGGACTCCTGTCATGACAAAAATACCTAATCACATATC